TGGGGCTCCTTCGATGACCCCAGCGCCTTCGTATAACCCGTCGTACGACATCCAGGGTTCCAACTCACCTTCGCACTACTTGCCTCAATATCCTCAGCAATATTATACGCCGATGCTAGTACAACAGCCTCTCGCCGGTAACCAGGGTTGGGACAGCAACCTGCAGTTGTTGACCCCTGCGCGCATCCCATACGCCGGTGTGCAAAAGCGATCTTCACCCTCGGCATCCTCGCGCTCAGTTCCCTCAGGGTTGGCAGCCAACAACTACCACCGCCGCTCCAACAGCGCGAACAAGCCGCTGCCCACCCCGGTTCAGACCCCTCTTCAGAACTCATTCCTTGCGACTCCCTTCCAAAGCTTCGATCCCTCCTCCCAAGATGGTCATAATGCTGAGGCCGAGTCTGCTATGAGAAAAGCGATCATGGACCAGCAGAAGCAGTCACCCCCGCAGCAAATGCAGAACGACTACTCACTAGCTCCATCGGTGTCATCAATGAGCCATAACTCGCCGGTGACTCCGCAGACAACACTCGACGAACTCGACGACGCATCCAAGTCAATGACCAATGGTGAGAATCGAATTCCTGATATTGATAGGTGGATGGACCAATACTTACGTCTCGACGCACCTCCAGAATACAACAACGCCAATGGTGCCATGTCAATTGGAGTTCCCAAACTGAACAGAACCATTTCCGATATATACCAAGACGAATTATATAACCCCGCCATCATGACAGCATCCCAGATGTCCAAGCCGATGGGACAAAACCACCTCAACCCGCGCAATTTTATCGCCGATCGCCTGCAAGCTGCCAACCAGGGACACTTGTCTGCTCGTTCACAATCGCCTGCCAACAGACGGGATCGCTCACCTTTCCGTACATCTTCCCCATTCGCCGGTGACATGGGTAACAATTCTCTTCAGCAGTCCCAGATGGCTACCAGCATCCCCATGGGACAGAACGCTATGCACGGAATGAACACTGGAGATATCAAGACTATGTCCCCCAAGGATGCAGTCTTGGATTTCCAAGACAACGATGATGCCATGCCTCCATTGTTTCCCCCTGGTCAGGCTGACTTCAACCTGGGTGATGCGCTTGGCTTGCGACACGATAATGGCCCAATGCGACCGATGGAAGCATTCCCTCAATACTCAGTACCCAGCATAGCCCAGCCACAATTCGCATTTTCCGAACCTCAGATGCATCGCCCTCAGAGTAACCTCTTGCAACAAAGTACCGAGTTCCCTTCGCTACCAGCAGTGGAATCTACCGAGAGCTCGCCTCCAAGCCAAATGAATATGCCAATTGCAGAGGGTATTCCCCGTCCTGCCAACACATCTTCGGATGCGGGCACCTACACTTGCACCTATCACAACTGCACCGACCGCTTCGACTCTCCCTCTAGACTCCAGCGACACAAGCGCGAGGCACACCGGCAAACAACACCGGGCGGCCACCTTGTCAGCCGCGACACCTCGCTCCGCAACTCCCAGGCTGGCCCACACAAGTGCGTACGCATCAACCCATCTACAGGCAAAGTATGCAATTCCATCTTCTCCCGGCCCTACGATCTTACACGGCACGAGCATACGATCCACACCGCTGGGAAGCAGAAGGTGCGCTGTCACATCTGTAACGAGGACAAAACCTTCAGCCGAAACGATGCTCTGACAAGACGTAAGTTTCCTTTTTTTTCCTTTTTACCCCTTAAGTTGATCATACGCTAATTACAATAATTACAGACATGCGAGTGGTTCACCCCGAAATTGACTGGCCAGGCAAGCAGCGCAGAAGGAGAGACTGAGAGCGCCTTCCACGTCATAGTCTACCGGATCGGCATGCCGAACGTCATAGGTGGACCCACTTTGGGTCCACCAAAAATCCGGGGCTTCGTCATCATGACGATTCAGCTCCCTAATTCCTCATGAACTCTCTGTATCACTATTCGGATTCCGATTTTTATTCATTATGTGTACGATTTTACGTTGATGATATGGTTTACATGCGAAAGCCCTTTTAGCATTGGTTGGTGTGTTTTTGTTTGTTTTTCCCACTCTATTTTCTGTCTATGCTCTTGGCTCTGGGAAAACAAACGGTTTTGGTGTTGTACATCTCTGTTGTACATGGTGTTGCTGCATTTTTGACCCCAGTACATTGTGTCCCTCTTGTACTATAGTACATGACTCCAAAAAAAAATGTATATTAGCTTTTGGACATGACATGAATTCATTTGGAAATGATCTATCACACTCCACAACTCCACACTACGCTCCACAATAACCCTAGAAGGAGTGAAACGCCCCTCTTGCTCTGAAACAATTGAGGTATAGACTCGAATCCCTCGCACCCACCTACATCACACCTGCAGGTTCATACCCACTTATGTCAGCCATCTTAACTGCTCGGCGCCGATCTCTGAAGTACTATGCACTATGTGTAACAAAATCATAGGTATTTTGTCTAGAATGTTCTTGCATATTGTAGACTGATTAAAGTTGAAAAAAATATACCTATGCACTATGGCCAAGATAATTGAATAATGTATAGTGTATATCGCATATTACAATAATTAATTAACATGTCCACGGATGAGCCCCGATTCGCGCTGATCGCACATTGTACCCCGTACTCTGTACTCCGCATTGCATCAACAATGCCAATTACCCAATAATATCTTGTATGTTGTACATTCAATGTTGCGATAAGCGAGGCATGTAAGTGGTCTATATGCCAAGAGTATGATCCCATGATTGCGTATGATGTAGGCCCATCCAAGAAAGCCTTGGAACAAACCCGATCTCATCCAAACTCTGGTCTGATAAGCAAGTTGGCTACCAGTATCCTGGTAGCCGGTACTGAGATTGTTTGGATAGGATTTGGTGAGAATTTGGTTTGGATTAGGAATTTCGACGTAATTGTACACAATGATAGCACAATTGCTGCCCCGATTTGTGATTTTGTCCTTGTCGATTTCCATGTAATGGAGTTGCTTATTAGTATATATGGTTTACATATGGAGGGTTAGTGCTCATGTGCCCCTAGTGTATCATCCCCCATCTCTTATCTTTGACCGGTACGAATGTCGCGGTCATTGTTTTGATTGTCAGCGTCATCAATAGCAATTAGCTTCTATTCAAGGTTGTGTATTTAAAACTATCATTGTCAACAACTTCGGATCGGTATTTATCCTAGCTTTTACCACATACCGTACCAAATAAGCCACAGTAAATGTGCATATTAACGTGTGCATATTTCCATTGTACACCGTTAAAAATGATAGACACTAAATGATAGACAGGGTGTACATCGGTGGGTCTGTGGCTTAATAGCTGTGGGTCTTAAATACGCCCGTTGTATTGGAGTGGGGGAAGTCGGAAGGCGGAGAGGTGGAGAGGTGGGACAATGGTGGATGTGTGGCTGGGGATGAACTTCTCATTTTTGAGTACGCCGTATGATGATCGCGGAGTTGCTGATTATTGTTTTCGTATATTGGTGGTGTGATTGATGATATTTTTAAGTGGCTTCTTTCAATTGGTGTATTCCGTTCGCTATTTCTGGTAGTTGGTGCTTTGCATGCAAAATACTCCGTCGGTGTACTATATCCCTTGCGTGGTCGCATCATTGAAGGAGTCATATGAGATGTAAAACGTGATGTGGTATCGTTACTCTATACTTCGTATAGCTTGGCAATGTTGAAGCAATCAATCAGAACAAACTGACAGCACAGAATACCCCTAATACCAAGGTATAATCTCTTCCCGAACTGCTAACTCTCCCTAAATAACCCCAAAGGAAACGCCCCGCACTCCGTCTCGTGCAAGTGCATACTCTATGCCTTGATACTCCGATCTGACGACGTAGGTGCCTATATGACTCTACACGTGAACGCGCTTGATCGGCTCTAAACATCTATGCAACCATGTTGTCTCAGACAGGGCCGATATGAAGAGAAAGATCATCGATATTCAGCTTCTTTTATGTAGAAGGAAAACAGGTACAACGTGGGCTGGGATGGCCAGGGATCTACTCTAGGGTAAGTGGTATCAAGACAGCCATTTGCGATAAATGTGGGTGTCAGAAATGAATCAGACTTCAAAAAACTATTGATCTAAGAGCGGTGCTCAAGAAGCAACCCCCCACCCCCCAGATTAATATCATCTTGTGTTGTAGCTTGCGTCTTATCATTATTTAAGTCACTGCGATATTTGCTATCCTGCAAAGTTCCCACCACAGGTGAGGGCCATTTTTCTCACTAGTACTAGATTCCATAGTCTCGCACAATCCTTCGCCGACCCCAGCATCACACAGTCCAGTGTGATCTTTGGTATCTTCCAACACCACCACAGCTCTGACTCTGTAATTCCTCGCTCGGATTTGGGACTTATCATCTACCTATCCAAACAACTAGTTTGATGACATCCCTGTTATCGCGTTTGTCATCGCGGTACCTGGTATTGACATCAGGCTACCTCAACTTCCTCGCTCTTCCCGGCGATTCAATCGACACTATCCTTGTCCCGCCTATCGAGCACGCGTTTCATCATTATTAAGTCGACGTCCTTGGGCCTCGTCGCTGCCTGATCACCTGCGAATATCTCAGAGCTCTTGCTGCTCTTTCAATCGATTCTCGACCCTGATGCGCCATTCGCAACATTGGGAAAATCCCTTTTTGACGTGCAGACCCCTCATATTCTCCATTTTTCCCTTTTCGAAGCATCAATTCTTTGCTCTACCTACTTTGACTTAAAATCACACAATCTCATTCTAGTGGCTTATCGTGTCTATTTCTCTGCGATCCTCGAGACCTTTAAATGTCTGCGGGACACAGAGCTTGCAGATGTCTAATGCAGGGATACGATCAATGTCTCTGCAAATTTTGTAACCGATGCGGGGATTTCGGTCATACGGCTCTTTACTGCAGAAGGAAACCTCATGGGGGACGAAGTGGAGAGTACCTCAGGTGTGCATACCCTATAGAGACGATGCCGACGAATGATCCTGATCGAATTGACGATTATCGCGAAGTGTGTGCCCTATTATTCTAACGCCTTTTTTATTCTTGTGCTGACTGAAGAGACCCTGTCTCAGGATTTACCCAAAGCGCCGATGGCCATGGCGCAAGTGTCAAATGCATCGAAAAATGACCGCTCGCCACAGAGACCGGCAAACGACGAAATTCCAACTGCCGAACGACAAAATTGGAGTGAGGTGGCCGGTAGTCAAATTGAGACACTGAATCTAGGACCTGTCGATCGGACCTCCATCCTAGAGCATTTGATTTCAAAAGTGCGCCTCGAAATGAGTGAAAGGTACTCTTCTTTGTTTGAGGAGTACGATATTGCCAGAATACTCGAAGACAGCTTGAGTCCAGCCGTGAAGGATATTTGTGAACAGGGCAAATTTGATCTGATCGGGCATGTTTAACCTTGATAATTTAGGAACAAGTTGCTAATAACCCTTTCTAGTCTCTTAGAAATTGGGCAGGACCCAGAAACGACAACAGAAGCTGGCGTCTATCTTCACATTCTATGGAGAGAGGATGACACAACAAGCCGGTTTTGGCTTTACGTCGGACAAGCATGTGTGCTGTGTCTGAGAATCCAGAAACACAAGGATCCTAAGCATCGTCGGAAGAATATGGGACTACACTATTCAGTTTGGGGCTCTGCCATGGATATGAAATCAGCCTTTGTCACTCTGGCTATCCTCGATGCCCCGTCTTCCACTCAGACGCAGCTAGTTTTCAACCTAGCAGAGATGTGGATGTGCCTAGTATTCCAAACATTGACTTCCCTTCATTTAGGCTCCTGGTTGCCGAAAGACACAAACGCCATGTGGTCAGGTAATCATCTCAATGTTGCATTGCCATTGTGGCAAGGATTCACAGATACCCAAGAGAACAAAGCCATCACTGACGCAATTGGCGGCAGATCAACCTTTCAGCAATACCTTAAATCCGAGGATTTGGTTATTCGGGCATGGGCCGAACAAACCAGGGATGCGTTCAACGACATTCGAAACTCACCTGACCCGGGGATCAGAAATTACAGGTGGGATCTTCACAAAGAGCGTATCCTTAAGGCACAGGACACATGGGGCAAAAAGAAAGCTAGCATGGCTAGGCAGTATCTCGAAGGGGCGAAAGCACTCGTTACATTGCATTCTGGAAATCATGGAAACCATCAAACTGAGGTCAGAGCTGGTAGTTTCAGGTTCACTGTTTCCCAAACGCTTGGACTTGATCTCCGTAACGGCGACGAAGTTATTCTCCAATATCATCTAACATCAACCCCACACCCACACGCTTATGCTCTTTCTGCTTTAAACACAGATCCTGCTAGCCGCTTGGGGGTATCTATCCGTGGTCAAGATAGCCACGGAGGTTTTTAATGCTGGCTAAAAGCGGACGGAGAGTGCAATTTACGAAAAATGAACACACTCGTGGACATCCTAGAAGGCTATTCTACCGAGGAAAGCAAGGGGTTCAAGAGACGTTGGTTTGTTACCAGGTCTTTGAATAGAACAAACAGTGATCCCGGGGGGAGAAATAGGTACACTTGATATTACAAAGCTAGAATTTTCAGAGTTCCAAATAGTTGTGCAAAATCTAACAATTCTTAATTGGATCCGATTTCAAAGTTTCTCGGTATAAAATTGGTGTAGTATTTGTTACGCTAAAATCCCATGAGGAGGGGGTTAAATGTCAGTCCAAATGACCTAATATACAATGACTCGAGGCGGGCCATTGTAATGATGAGTATGTTTGGATAAAGTTTTGGAGGCAGAAAGTCTCCTACAATCGAGTAGAATTCATTTGGGTCCAAAAAAATCCGGATTTGACGAAGGACTAATGAGAATTGAAGGGGGAAAAAACAAAAAAAAAAGATAGACATAGCATGTCCTGGTTTCGATCCAGGGTCCTGTTGTGATTGTTAGTTTAATGTTTGTGAGTGAAATTGTTTGCGGTGAAACGTACCTCCGGGTTATGAGCCCGGCGCTCTTCCCCTGAGCTAACATGCTGATTGGTTGGAAATTGTTTGCCTCTAGTAAATAATCACTTTGTCAAAAAGAATACATTTCAAGTATTATTATATATAGTAAATAATATGAGCCAGAAGATATAAAGTATGCTAAACTTACTCCGTACTAGTAAACATATTAGGAATATTCCTAACAATTTGAGTGCGCTAACTCCACTTTGAGAAATGGGTGACTAAAGATTTTCACCACTATACAAATAAATAGACAACATATCACATTTTACTATTTTAACTCCTTACCTCTAATTCCTAGTTAAAGATTCATTATATTATCTACCTGACCAACCACTCAAGATTTCAAAATTTCGGATTGTAGTTATAGATGTCAGAGTGGCCCAATATCACATCCCATCAGCATGTTAGCTCAGGGGAAGAGCGCCGGGCTCATAACCCGGAGGTACGTTTCACCGCAAACAATTTCACTCACAAACATTAAACTAACAATCACAACAGGACCCTGGATCGAAACCAGGACATGCTATGTCTATCTTTTTTTTTGTTTTTTGAAAATATAAGTCATCATGGTCAATATAATGCAGTACTGCTAAATTTGCGACATCGTATGGGATTCCATATTGTAGCTATCGCCTAAATGTACTTAGGTCGTTGGTTTTCTGGTTTACCCTCTCTTTTCCCATAGCTTTCCGTCTATGAGTCAAATGATTTGACGTTAACGAGGAGGATGTTCTGAATATATGTAAACTACCTATACTACTCTATATATATTAGCATTTGATCATGAAAGTATTAATACTCCAAATGTTCAGCTTCACACATAGAAAAAGACAATGATACCCCTTTGAATTACTAACATGAATAATTCTGATATTCCCTTGAGGTTGATAATAGCCCTACATATTTGATCTTAATGCCAACGTACTTTGATTCAATCGGGCACTCCCGCCTTGATTGATTACACACAGACTTTCCTAGATCCCAGCATTAACCCACGAGCTACTTGAATACAACTCAGCTCCCATGCTGTGGTGCAACTCCCTACTGCCTCAGGCCACCATCCATATAGCTCTACCAACAACACTTAGACACAGTGGAAGTACTTGATCTATGTGCCCTGTTACTATAAGCACATACAGTATTAGGCCTTGGACTTCGTACCCTTAAATTGATATCTCCAAACCCCCGACTGTGCAAATCAAAAACCTCCAACTCGTTGCTGATCATACTGGGGGAGGGGGGATCACCGGAGTGGGGGCGGAAATCTCCAAACAGCCGGAGTCCCCTATCTGGCGTTTATATCCATCAAAGAAACACAAAGCCGCTCAAATCTTGTTCATACCCCTAGTATAAATAAATACTCTGACCTCCAAGAGCCCGAATATTTTCAAACAAGCAAAATAGCCAGGGCCTGTGAAAAAAGGAAAGAAGGAAAAAAAAAGAGGGTCATTCGGCCAACCTGAAACCAACCTCCAACCAACGCCACCTCATCCCAACAAACCACCCTATACAGACAAAATGGGCCAAAAAGCCTCTGTCCCACAGCCCGGTACACAAATACAAGTCATCGGCGCCGGGCTACCACGCACAGGGACCTCATCATTCAGCCAAGCGCTAGAAATCCTCCTGAACGGACCGGTGTACCACTGTGGCACGCAAATATCGAGAGGCCCACCCACGGAGATAAAAAGCTGGATGCCAATTTTGCAAAACTGGCTCAAAAAGGACGACGACACAAGCCGAGCAAAGATGCTCACTCTCCTGCGCCGCCGATTGGCCGGCTACGTCGCCATCACCGACTCCCCAGGCTCCGAACTCATCCCCGAACTCATGGAGCTGTACCCGGACGCCAAGGTTGTCTGCACCATACGTGACCCCGTATCATGGGAGAAGAGTATGCTCTACGTGCAGAGTCTGACGGGCGTTTGGTTTGCGCGTGCTGTCTTGCTCCCGCTGGACGGGTTGAGACATTTTATCCCGTATGGATATTTGCTAGCGGCTCTCTGGGAGAAGCTGTATGGTGGTGTTGCGGGTCAGCATGGGAGGGAGACTTATGCGAGGCATATTGCTTGGTTGAAGGAGGTTGTGCCTGAGGATAGGTTGGTTCTCTTTGATGTTAAGGATGGGTGGGGGCCGCTGTGCGAGGCTCTGGGTGTCGAGGCCCCGGTTGATGTGCCGTTTCCCCGTATCAATGATTCTGAGGCTATCGAAAGGTCTGTTAATTATCATCTGCGGAGGGGCCTTACGCGCTGGGCTTGCATCTTTGGCGTGTTTGGTGTTGGGGTGGCGGCTTTTCGCATGTGGAAGTGAGATGGGGGTCGAGAGGATTGCATAGTGTGACTGAAGGATGAGAGGTAATCATGTGGCTGGTTCCTTTTTTTTTCGGTCGCGGAGAGGTATTGTGAATTTGTGGGGGGTTTGGAAACTTTTTGGTATCGCAGACTTCAACACTTCAGTGACTTGCATGGTTTGGATGATATACGTTTATTTCAGGGGGAGGCGGAGCATTAGTCAAAGACTCGTCACGAACAAAATCAGATAGATCGATCTATACAGTCATTTAAATAGCCATGTACACACAAGATTTATGATATTTACGTTCTTTGGAATATGTTATAGAAGATATGAAACCGAAATTCATTGCCCAAATATTAGACATAAATGTAAGATTCTGAACAATCACCAACCTTGGAGAACTCATAAGCGTAAACCCGATATCATCGACGATCCCGCTCGAGCGATGGTGAGCTCTCACTTCCACAATCATTTCTTTCGAAGGTAGTTTCGATTTCCGTGTGAGCCCAGATCTTGCCTTGGGGGATAATGCGCTCCTCGCTGGAGTTGCTAGCCGCGCCAATATCGGTACCTAAAGGAATATCCTCCTTGCCGTTGACTGTGATCATAGTGATGCTGTTTGGATCCTTGACCTTGCCGAATCCAGATGGATACCGGGGGGAAGTGGTGTGGCTTGACCAGGGGCCATATTTCTTCCCACTGCTGTATTCGCCAATGAAGCGGGGCAGGAAGCGGGAGGCAATCGCCTTGAATGACGGGATTGAGGCAGCAAAGATGCCGATGTTGGTTTCGATGACTGACCAGTACATGGCACCGCTGATGGCATACGTGGAGTCCTTCGAGCTCAGCATGGTAGGGATGTAGGTGATTCGGATGATCGAGGAAATGCAAGCGCTGTACGGGGTAATCCGTTAGAAAGCGCCCAGACGGAAGTACTGGGGCAACTTACAAAAGACCAAGACAGAGGATAAAGGCCAGAACAAGTTTTTGTTTCTGAGGCATCTGGAGATGGAAGATAACCTTAATGGGCAAGGTATAGGTTAAGAGATCGGTGACAATGTTCAGAGCGGCGTTGCACAGGTAGAAAAGGTTGATATTGACGCATTTGCCGGGTCCGGTGCCAGTCCAGGCCATGCTAATGGGTCGACATTGGAATGCAGCCACGAGAACGAATGAGGTGGCTTGTGCCATAATAACTCCCATCATAACCCAGGATAGGCGAGTGAGATAGCGATCTCCAAGGCGAGTATAGAACCACAAGACGGAGGTTTTGACGAACCCAAGTGTTGCAAGATAGAACATAGAGCTCAGCCAGACGGCCTGGGGATATTAGAAATGTAATGCTATACAAGGTCGGACCCGTATTCTTACAAAAGCATAGTTGATCATCCCGGTCTGGTCGACATCCTGAATGTGCTTTCCAAGTCCATGTTTGACCGCTAAATAAGATTAGCTTTTGAAGATAGTTGTAAGAAGCGAAACCAGAACATACCGACAAGTGTGACAGCAATAAATGACCATGACAGTGTCTATGTCCATTAGAAATAAGTATTTTTTGATGATAGAGTCGGGTTTTCCCTACACAAGCACCAACAATGAGGTCTGGGGGATATTAGTATAGTATGGGTAAAATAGATCAAGCATAATCCACTCACAGTCGTCAATACCCATTTGACCTAAGACATAAATGCGCGCAAAGAGACGAAGAGTTAAAACAATGAAGGTCAAGACGGCAAATGCCACACAGATACCCATGACCATAGGGCCTTGAGAACCATCGGAACCAGCCATGATAAGAAATATGGAGGGATCAAATAGAAACAAAAAAATGGAGAGAAAAGACCGTAAACTGACGCGAAGGAAGGAATAAGTTTAAATGAATGGCATAGATAGTCGTTTCACATTTCCATCTCACGGGGAACCGATGATAAAAGGCTCACTTAAGTACGATCGAAAATAATTAGGAAGAATAGCTTTGGCACCCCGGTCTATAATTTATAAGGATATTTATCTCTAATGCCCCTGGAATTAGTTTGAATAAAATGACTGCGCACACCAGATATGCGCATCGTGCATGGATCTAGTAGTCACCGAGATCCACTGTATACCATCAATAAGGCCGTTGACAAAAAAAAAAGAAAACATGGTAGGGATTAGCACGGCCTTTTCTTCCTAGAGCAACACGAGACAAACCAGACTGTTGTAACCGAGCATCTCCACCACTCGAGACCTTTGGTGATCTATGCGTGCTAAAATACGCCTGCCGTTTATGTGGAGAGACTCCGGTTTCACCTTATTTAGAGAAAATCAGGATAAGCTCTAGGACGGGCTTTCCAGAGTTATGATTTGCTACTCAGGTGCAACTGTTGGATATGTCATTCCTTGAAAAACCAGCTCTGAATCCCTGTCCATAGGGAGCCTTGTTCCGGGGACAAGAAGGCATTTTGTTTTAGCACTAAAGATATCCACCTGAAGGCCGGAATGAGATTGGCTCAATAGGGGGTCAGTCGTGGGTCGACACTTTCGACGTCTCGAAGATGATCATTATGAATTCCTGACCATTGGAAAGTACATTGCCAAGTTATACTATTACTCATAACCAACAAGAAACTAGGAAAAACAAGAAAGATGATTTGATGAACGAAAGCGAAAAAAGTGTCCGTGGGTCTCGGAAGATTCCCGGGGAGGTGGAGAGATCTGATTTATTTTTACTTTAATGCTCGTTGAGCTGCCCGATGGTGATCCTAATATCTTAATATGATCTAGGTTGGATACGTTATATGTTGTAGTTAAATGTTGTACGGAGTGAATCAATAACCCTAAATCCAACGGAAGATTTCTTGGGAAATTTATGGCAAAGCCTGCCAAATGTTAGGTCATAATCTTGAGAAAGGAGCTGAACGATCTGCACGTTTCAAACCAGAGCTTTTGTCAATGCGCTCATCCACAGAGTATATATGGAGCAATGGACAATGCCTTGCCCGTAACGCATCGACTTGAAGTCATTCACTATGCAGCTCAACTCCGATCTGCGCGACTCCATTTGCCTTCTGAGCCGTCCTGGAGAGTGGGCCGTCCATTGTGACGCCTTATAAGCGAGATTGCCTAGACTGAAAATTATTTGGAAGTCTGTGCATTTCATATGTGATATGAGTGGTAGTGAAAATCTGCAATGCATATTCTCAAGAACTCACAAAGTACGAGGAGATGGAACTTTTATACTCCGTACTCCGTAGAAATATTACTTGTCACGCCCCTTTCCGAAAGATTCTTAGAGATCGGCGCCTATCAATTTCAATTTATCATTCCCCGGACTACGAAGTAGAAGTATAATATTGCTTCCAAACTATAGTAATGGGGATTGAAAGGTACGGAGTAGACGTTGGATTTAGTAATAGCTGATCCCTAGGGCTTGATCCATCTCAAATAGTTGACCTGTTTTGCTCTTTCTCTCTCAATTTTTTTGGTATCTAATACTAACTGTGCGAAACATACGGAGTAGTGTTGATGCGCCCGAGTCATAATTCCCTCTGTTCCCTGGCAGTGAATTTCGAATCCATGTACCTTTTTCATGGGCGCACTATACAAAAGGTACCAGTGATACAAACACCTTAACATCCATTTTTTCAACCTTCTACATAGTTAGGGAAATTATACTCCGTTGGTCTATACACGTTAAATTAATGCCGAAAAAAAACATCAAGTTGACTCAACGTAATAAAACATTCAAGTTCTACTACAAACTATCTTTGTGTATAGAATTTTTCAATGTGCTTCTTACACTTCTATATTAATTATCCAGAATTAATCGTAGTGTTAGACCGACTATTCATACTTGTACAAGAATAGTTGCGTTTGCGGCCTTGCCACATCTTTTCGGTAGAGTCTTTTGTTTAGATATTTCCCCTCTTATTGGCGTTGTAACTAGGGTATATGCGGCACTTAAATTGTGCAAAACGACCTTTCCATGTATAACCTTGGACTCTAATCTTTTAGTTAGTTCGAGAGTTGAGCAAAATGGATATTATGACTTTTTTTTATTATCATTTGTACCTTTTGTATGAGTATGCCGTATAAAGTGAACTTAATTTCAATATCGGTGAGCGTTAATTATAACAGGGGCGCACCAACAGCACCAGCACGGATGTGTTGGGCGCTTGGAATAAGTAAGGCGTTAGGACTCTGATGGTCCTTAAAACAAGTTAGCTGACTTTTCTCCACTGGTTTCCCCTCAATTCCCCTGCCACATTCATTTCAAGAATGCGCGCGGCATATGCATGCGGGTCACACCTCGCACGAGGGACGAGGGCTGGGCCGTCATCATCTGCAGCTTCATTATTTAGTCTGCTCCATACTTCGTACAGCGTGCAGAGACGCCAGTGAAAAACGCTGGCTATTTCATAGTGGAGAACGCCAGCCTCCCACTCCACAGTCCTGGTGCGAGGGGTGTACTGTACTTTGTGATTTGCGTCTGGCCCTGCGCAAATGACGCTCGAGAACCCCAAAAGCCTTGTTTTGCACCTGGCAAAGGACTCACAGGCATTCTGATATCTTATGCTGGCCATTGTCTCAAATATTCGCGGACAACGGCGCCTCTCCCTGACGGAGCGTGCCGAACCCGCACGGCCCCCCTCGACACCTGGCAACGTCTTTCTCCATCTCCAGAATATCTTTACCACTTTAGGCAGCTATGCTACGCGATCGGTCGTTGCTAGGGATGTACGCAACAGTGGGTCAGCCACAATGCTGTGATGCCGAATGAGCAAACGGGGTCGCAATCCCTCTACGATTCACCAATGCTCTTAGCGCGAGGACTAGCACGAAGGGGGGGAGGTGCAGATGCAGTGAGATGCCACATGCCGAGAATATCTTCGGCCGTTTAGACCTAGTTTGAACCAGGCTTACACGATTCTCAGGGAAACACTGCGTGCTCGTGGGTTCTTGTTAGCTCAACATAAGCCCCCCTGGCCAATGCCTTGGGTCAATGCCTTGGGTCAATGCACTTTGGCCAATGAACTATTGGCCCTTACTACAATGGATATGCTGTTTAGTTAATGGGAATGGCCATTCGTGGTACTTTATGTCCGGAGGGATTATTTCCCCTCGGTCAGCAAGACGAGTTTTCATCTTCGCATCAGCATCTCCAAATTCGCCATGGGTCTTGCGGAAAATGTCCTGTCACTGGTGACGGTGACCAATGTCATCTTGAGTCTTGTGGCCTATGTGACGCTCAAGTTTGGCTGGCAAATTATCTACTATCGCTTCTTCAGTCCGCTCGCGAAGTTTCCCGGTCCTTTCTGGGGTTCTGTAACCCGTCTCTGGATCGCATGGCATAATCTACAGGAGACCGAGGTACCGGCTGTTTATGCACTTGCTAAGAAATATGGTTGGTATTCATCCTGTGTCCAATAGGAATATTGTCTCTAACAAGTGATTTCTCTCAGGCCCTGTTGTTCGCATCACCCCGACATTGTTGCTGGTCAGCGATCATGAAAAGCTCCCGGAAGTCTACCATCGCAATGCAGACAAGACCGGACACTATATTACTGGGAGCTTCGGTGAGACCGAGTCTCTGTTCAATATGAGGTCTCACAAGACCCATGCCGTGTTTAGAAAGCATGTTGCCGGGCCGGTATGATGATATACGAGTTCATTTGCAAATATCAAAAACTGACCCTCAATATAGTACAGCTTCAGCAACATCAAAAAGATGGAGCCACTGGTTGATGCGCGCATCGCCGAATGGACCACCAAGCTCAACGAAAAGTTCGTGAAGAGCGGCGAAGCCTTCGACTTTGCCTGGTGGGCAGTGTAAGCAACATATGAGCCAATAAAATAACTCTCCAACTAACAATACTACCAGCTATATGGCCTACGACATCATCAGCGAAATCGGCTTCGGCGAGCCCTTCGGTTTCGTCGAAAAAGGCGAAGACATCGGCGGCCTAATCCAAGGCTTCCACGATGGCCTCCCAGCCTTCGGCCTCCTCGCCCGCCTACACCCCTTCACCTCATGGATAAAAACCACCTTCCTGAAAAAGTACCTCGTCGCCAAACCAGCCGACAACTCCGGTATTGGTGTTCTAATGCGCTTCCGCGACCGACTCATCGACAAGCGCATGAAGGAGATCAAATATGGCAGGAAATCCGACCGCACAGACCTGCTGCAGACTTTCCTCGAGGCTGTCACAGAGGACGGCAAGCCCCTAGATCTGGACTACATCCGCGCCGAGGTCCTGCTTGTCCTGCTCGCTGGTGCAGACACAACAGGCACCGCCTTCCAGGCCATGGTGCAGTTCCTCATGACCCACCCGGAGGCGTATAGGCGTATGATGGAGGAAATCGATAACGCCACCCGCAAGGGCCTCATTTCAGATATACCACAGTACGATGAGGTTCTGGAGCATCTGCCTTTCTATGTTGGCTGTGTGAAGGAGACTATGCGTCTGTGTCCGTCTGCGCCGAATATATTCCCCCGCTATGTCCCTGAGCCCGGGCTCGATCTTTATGGTCGCTTTGCGCCGGCGGGCACGGAGATTAGCTGTAATCCGTACCTTGTGCATCGGGATCCGAAGCTTTATGGGTATGATGCCGAGGAATTTAAGCCTGAGAGGTGGTTGGATGTTGAAAGGGCAAAGTTGTATAATAAGTATAACTTTTCATTTGGGTATGGGTCGCGTGTTTGTTTGGGGAGGGATATTGCTATGATGGAGTTGTTTAAGGGTCCTTTGCAGGCAAGTTCTTTTCCGGTTGTCTTACGAGGCTGTTATTTTGGAGTGGCTGCTAATGTG